GGCTGAGTAATATTCCATTGTGTATATGTACCACATCTTCTTTATCCATTCATCTGTCGGTGGGCATTTAGATTGCTTCCATGACCTGACTATTGTAAACAGTAAAGCACAAGATTTAGCGTTAGCTCTACATTATGTACATATATGTGCATAAAAATGATGTCATGCAAACTTTTAAGAGTAACACTGCTTTTATGATGCTTGGGCTAATTACTAAATGTAAGCATCACATGTGTGATTTCATGCACTTTGATCACATGTTATCTTAGTTTTAATTACTTAAGACTTTAAACGTCATAATTTCCCTTTTTTTTTCTTCAAAGATTCTCCTATCTCCTGGTTGTCCTCCCACCCTCTGGCCTCATGTTCTTCGTCTCTTTTGTGGCCTTCCCTTCTTCCATCTATGCCTTTTATTTTGTTCTTGCCAGGGTTCTGTCTTTGGGTTTTTACTCTCTTCATTGTACATTTTGCTCTAAGTGAAACATCCAACCCCATGGGTTCAGTGACCCGTCCTTATACCATTTCTACATCTAGTTTCCCAGGTTAGGCATATTTCCTAAGCTGAAATCCATGCATCCAATTCTATACTGGAAGCTACACCTGGATGACATGACACACAGGCACCTCACATAGACTAGTTCAATATCACTTCTCTGATTTTTCTACCTCATGCTTACTTCCTCACCATCACATCAGGATCCATTCTACACACCACTGAGAGACTGATCTTTGGAAAGCTAGTCTGATTTTGTTACTTCCCAATTGAAAATAACTTAAAAAATAACGAGTATGTTACATGTTGGCATTTATGATCTGGGTCCTGACCTTTCTGCCCTCATCTTTGATAATACTTCTTATTCTCTATAAACCAACCATTAGTGAATTTTAAGGTTTCTAGAATGCCTTCTTTGGGTTCATGCCATTACAAATGTTTCTTTCTCTTCCCTTTCTCTCTTCATCTGATTAATACCTACTCATACATTAAGTATTTCTCCTAGGATATCTTCTTCAGAAAGTCTTCCTTAACTATTGCAATCTTCTATATATGGCACCAGATTTAGTAGACAGATTGTAATCTTTGTTGTTGGTATAAGTGTTCAATTTAAGGCTTTGAAGACCTTTTTGGCTATTGGGAAAATTGAATGAAAAGATAATATGGATTAAAATGTTCATAGCTATATATGTTAGTGGTTAAGAGCTACTGATCTAAAGACAGGAGTTTTAATCCTGTCAATTACCAGTTTGGTGACCTTAAGCAAGGATTTTTTTTTCTTTTTAACCTCTCAGTTTTCTGTTCTCTGAAGTGAATATAATTAACTGCTTCACTGGGGTTTTATCATATTAAATGAGATATTAAATGTAAAGCACATTACATCACATGGAAGTAGAAAATTATCCTAGAAAAGCCCTTCAAATCATCTAGTAAGTCCATTATATATATCATTTTTAATATTTTTAAAAGGTATAGTCTGAAAAAAGATATAGTCTGTAGTCATTTATGAATAAAATGATATGGTATCTGTGATTTGCCTCAAAATAATCCAGTGAAGAGAAAAATCAGAGGTGTGATAAAGTAGATGAAATACGGTTATTTATGAGTTGCTAACAACTGAAGTTTGGTGATGGGTACCTGGAGCGTTCTTAACACAATAATGTCTATACAAGTATGATATTTTCCAGAATAAAGTTCTGTTTAAAAAGTATACTATTACTTGTAATACATATATACTTTATATTTCAGTGCCTAAGTATGCACAATTTCTTTTATCAAGATCAATTGAAATGTTGGCTTGCATGTAGGAATCCCACTGCATGAAAAGTATATATCTTTGACTGGAATCATTCTTTGTAAAATGAGAAGCTCACACTCTGAAAGGTGTGAGGGAGCTGAAATGATTAAGGGAGCAAGAGATTCAGGACTCCAATCTCATGTTTACTTCAAGGACATATGCCATTATTTTCTCTGGCTGGCAGATGTACCCAGAGTATTTAAATTACTTCTATGTCTTTTTTTCAACGAGCATAAACATTTGAATTCATGTAATATAAATGCATGTATGATATGACATCAGAGTATACGGTTATAGATAGCAGAATTGCATTTTTTCCATATTGGATTTGCAACTGCTCTAAATTTTATACATGTGGTCCCTTATAAAATTAATGTAGAATTCATGTCAATTTTATAATCATTAAAGGGTAATTTTTCCATTTATAGTAAATACCTATGCAGCACTACATAAAGGAAGAAGATTTTTGGGACTTCTTTGGCATTCCAGTGGTTAGGACTCCACGCTTCCACTGCGGGGGGCATGGATTTGATCCCTGGTCAGGGAACTAAGATCCCGCATGCCACACAGTGTAGCCAAAAACAGAAAAAAAAAAAAAAAAAAAGGGAAGAAGAAGATTTTAATTGTGTATCAGGAGTATGTAGTTTTAAGCTTGGTTTCAAGTTTTCCTACCTGCCTGGCCATAAGCATATCACTTAAACCCTGAGCCTCAGTTTCTTGATCTGTCAAGTGGATGTCCTAATGTCTCATTTTCAGTGTTGCTTTCAGGAGTAAACAAAAGAGAGTGAGCTCTCCAATAACTGGTGCTGGGAAAACTGGACAGCTACACGTAAAAGAATGAAATTAGAACATTTTCTCACATGATATACAAAAATAAATGCAAAATAGATTAAAGACCTAAATGTAAGGCCAGAAACCATAAAAATTCTAGGAGAAAACTTAGGTGGTACACTCTTTGACATAGGTCTTAGCAATATCTTTTTGCATATGTCTCCTCAAGCAAGGGAAACAAAAGCAAAAAATAAACAAATGGGAACTAATTAAACTCAAACCGCTTTTGCACTTCAAGGAAACCATCAACAAAATAAAAAGACAACCTACTGAATGAGAGAAATATTTGCAAATTATGTGTCTGATAAGTGGTTAATATCCAAAATATATAAAGAGCTCATACAACTCAATATCAAAAACAAAACTCCATTAAAAAATGGGCAGAGGATCTGAATAGACATTTTTCTAGAGAAGACATACAGATGGCCAACAGCCACATGAAAAGATGCTTGACATCAGTAATCATCAGGAAATGCAAATCAAAACCACAGTGAGATACCACTTCATATCTCTCAGAATGGCTATAGTCAAAAAGACAGGAAATAACAAGTGTTGGCAAGGATGTGGAGAAAGAGAACTCTACTACACTGATGGTGGGAATGTAAATTGGTGCAGCTATCTTGAAAAACAGCACAGAGGTTCCTCAAATGAATGAATATAATAAAACAGAAACAAACTCACTAATACAGAGAACAAAGTGGGGAGAGGGGCAAAATAGAGGAAGAGGATTAAGAGGTACAAACTACTAGGTATAAAATAAATAAGATACAAGAATAGATTGTACAGCACAGGGAATATAGCCAATATTTTCTAATAACTTTAAATGAAGTATAATCATTAAAAATATCAAATCACTATCACCTGAAACTAATATAACATTGTAAGTCCCCTATACTTCAATTAAAAAAAAATAGAAAGAGGATGAGAAGAATTAATGTTTTGTGTACCTATCACATGCTGGGCACTGTGCTAAATTCTTTAACATAAGAAAAGATTCCTTCAGCAGTATATTATTTTCCTTTTTTTAACTTAAGAAAATTGGAGTTCAAGGAGAGTAAACAATGAGATAATCTAGGTCAAAATACTGCTTTGGAATTAATGGATTTTAATATTCATATCTAAAGAATGTGATGACAGTTCTTTCATCTGATTTAAACCCACAAAATATTCTTTTGATGGTTTTTGTTTCTTGCAGGTTCTTTTCTTTCTGTGGTTTTTAATATTACATTGTGACAAATCTGTGAACTGACCATATTAAACTCTCAGAGGACAGTTTAAATACAGATTTTACAGTTAAATATAGTAAAAATTTATTTGAAAATTTGAGTTAATTGTGAGAATTAATTCACATGGCCTACATGTTATTTGTAAAATAAATGAATGAATAAATGCATGAGTAAATATACCTATGAAGAGTCTGTAACGCTTCTGAGTCTTGAGTATATACACCTTTATTATTAAGAATTTTATACACATTTTACTTTTCAGAGTCAAAGTTATTTTTAAAGAAAAATTTATGTTCCGTGTAGCCTGCCTTTGTGAAATTTAGGAGGTCTTCGTGCTTGGGAATTTTAGTTAAAATAGGACATAAAGTTTTTTGAGTATTGAAGTGCCTATTGGAATGTGACAATTCCCATTTAATATCTGTATTTATTTACACTTGATGCCTCAATTTACATACATAGTGGTGTTCTTTGGGAGTTCTGTAGCTTTTGGCTTTAAGAATTGGTGACTATTTTTGCAAACGGAAGTCATATTCTGGATGCCAAAATAACTGAATTTACTGCCCAGGACTTCTGGAAATTGTTAAAATACTTTAAGGATGCTTTTCATTGTGTTTATGAAACCATGAATATTAAAATGGTAAAAATAAAATCTCACATAATTTAAAATTTTCAAAAAGTTTTCCTGCTTTGGTTTGCTCAGTCCTGGATCTTAGAAGCATTTTAGAACTTACACATATACACCACAATAAAGAGTAGAATTTAGCTTGAATAGAGCTTATGTTAACATTAAATCCCTAGATCATTTCTGACCTCAGGTATCTTCTTCTCCTGACTCTCTATATGGATTCATCAGCATTCAGATTCCTGCTACTTGTTATCAACCATTTCTCACTACTATGTCCTGTTTAACTACTAACCTTCTCTATGCCCCTTGACTCAAGTATTGAAGCAAATCATTCTTTCTCATCAAGCAAAATATCTTAAAATGCTAGATTTTGCTAACAATCTAGGGAAAATACACTTAAAATTGAATATCAGACCTCACGCCTCCTAAATTTTCTCGATCTTTAATCTTTTTTTTTAACCCTTAATCTTGATTTGGAATTTTAAAAATATCACAATGCTGAGTGCATCATTTCTCTTTCCCCAGCAGCAGAGGAAGAAGATTTGTGAAATGACAGCTGTAATTTCTTTGACTTCCTTAGAAGAAAGCTTCAATTTAATTTAAAGGTACAATATAAATAATATTACCAGTGATCAATGAGTTATTTATCTGTAATTTATATGTCTCTGAAGCTTCCCATGTCCTGAGGAGACTCTTTAGGGTTGCACTATTACTCACCTAAAGACAAATGTAATTATTTTTTCTTCTTCCTTTTCTTCCTCTGCCTCATTTTCTTCTTCTCTTCTTTCTTTTTAAAGCAACTTAATCCTAAAGCTATTAGATATAGCTGATAAGTGTCTTCACAGGTGCCATGGGTGGGGATGAGGAGTGCCCCAAAAAGGAGTGTTCTGGTTTGGGGTACCTAAGCCCAAGCAGGGTAAGGAGGGCACCTTTCCCTGAGAAGAGCCAAGCATAAGGTATCATAACTCAAGAAAGTAAAACAGTGTTCCACATAGGAGACAGTCTTGCATGAAAGGTCTAACAAGGTGAGGAGGGTATTTGTACAGAAGAAAAGAAGGCAGTGGTGCTGGAAGATTGATGATATAAAGGGAGATTGATCAACTAATTAATATATTTAAGATAATAGGAGTCAGCTTCCTCATTGTCACAGAAGGCAGTTTAAATACAGACAGGGAAAAAGTAGAATTAACCTGGTATGGGAATTGGTGATATCAATATGAAATAATGGTTTTCAATATGTAAAGAAAGATAAGAATAAATATAGATATAAACGTGTGTATCACGTATATAGGTATTTTAAGCACGTGTATATATGTGTGTAAATACATATACACACATATATACTCTAGTTCTGTCCACTGAGAGGTCTGGGAGTAGTGACATACTAATAGTCATGAGCACACCTCACATGCAGATCTAAATACCATTCTCCTCTAACAGGAAATAGGGCTTGTTGGAGAAAGGACTAATTTTTGGTCTGAGCCAGGGCAATAAAAGATATATGTAGACTGTCCTTTTGGTCCAGAAAGTAAGGAAGTGCTCAAAGAATAATGAAGATATGTCAAAAGAGCACAATAGGAACCTTGAAGGGTATTTATTGACCAAACTAAGGAAAAGTTGTGCTTTTGGCCAGTGAAACAAATAAAGAGTCCAGAAATACATACACATGGTGGATTGTTTTTAGACAATGACACAAGATAATTCAGTGTGGAAAGTATAACCTTCTCAATCAAGATGCCAGAACAATTTTATATATGCAAAAAAGGAAAAGAAAAAGAAAAAAAGAACCTCAACCCTTACTTCACACACTGTATTAAAAAGAAAATAATGCAAATGTACATAGACTTAAATGTAGGAGCAAAACCTATCAAACTTCTAGAAGAAAATATAAGATAAACTGTCAGTGAACTTCAGTTTAGTGAAGATTTTTAAAAATACAAAGCAAAACACAGTAATCATTTAAAATTTTTGAAAAAGTTGGACTTCATAAAAAATTTTCTTCAATGTTTTGAATAGAACTTTTATCTAGAATATATAAAGCACTCCTACAACAACATAATAATAAGACAACCCAAATGGGAAAAAATTGTGGACAGACATTTCACCAATGAAGATATATGGATGGTGAATGAAAACCATAAATAAAAACTACTACAAGATAACACTACACACTCAATAGAATAGCTAAAATTTTTAATTTTAAATACTGACCATACTCAAGTATCAGTGAGTTTCAGAAGCAACCAGAACTTTTATACACTTCTGGTAGAAACTCAAATTGGTACAGTTACTTTGGAAATGAGTTTGGTATATTTTTTAAAGTTAATGGGATCCAGCCATCTCACTCCTAGGTATTTACTCCCCCAAAATAAAAGCATATATCCATCCAAAGACCTGAATACAGATTTTCACAGCAGCTTTATTGGTAATTGCCTAAAACTGGGAACAACTCAAGTATCCATCAGCAGGTGAATGGATAGACAAATTGGGTATAGCCATATAATGGAGCACTGTTCAATAATAAAAAGTAACGAATTAACAAAATATCTGCTTAATTTCTTCTACTTGTACCATTCCTTCAAATAATTTGGTACTCCCTGCTAATAAAGTAATGGATTACTGATATATGCAACAAAATGGATAAATCTCAAAATTATTATGGTGAGTGAAAGAAGCCAGGCAAAGAAAGAATACATAATTTCATTCATACAAAATCCTAGTAAATACTAACTAATATCAAAGGATGCAATGAGAACACAATATTATTTCAGTGATGTTCCTACCAAAAATGCATAATCAGATCCAATCATGGGAAACTATCAGACAAACCCAAATAGAGAGGTATTCTATTTTTTAAAAATCCTATAGTCTTCAAAAGTGCATTGAAAGACAAAGAGAGACCAAGGAACTATTTGAAAGACACTGAACTGGGTATATTTTCTATAAAGGCATTATTGAGACAATTTGGAAATTTGAATGGGTGTGAGGATTAGATTAGACTCAAGAATCTTAGGGTGTGTTAGAACTATTAGAACAATTGACAATACTTGAATGGAATCTGATTAGATGTAATAATATGTCAAAAAATAGTTCCTGGTTTTAATCTTGTAGTTATGTTGAAAAATGTCCTGGTTTATAGGAAATGCTAAAGTATTAGGGGTGATGGGGCCATCAGGTTGGCCACTTACTTTCAAATGCTTCAGGAAAAATGAAATTGTTCTTTGTGCCATACTTGCTGTTTTCTATACATTTCAACAGATGGATAGATAGATATAGATATACAACAATTGTTTGTTATTTCTATACATTCTGTTCACTTTGATCCTATACAGCAATTCAAAGAGTCCTTTCATATAATTTTCAGATTCTTCTGGTAGAAATTCTCAGATTTCTACCATACTGCTCCTACTTGCTTCTCTCCAAGACTATATCTAGGTGTGTAAAAGGAGAAAGACTTAGGTAGTGTAACCACCAAATTAAAGTGTGCCCAGACAACAGACATCCTGAGTCATCCTGAGAAAACAAGGGAGGATGGTCAATTTAGGTTTGTGATGTTGGAGAGTTGTATCATTTCAGGCCTGTGTCCATCTTTTGTTCTCAAAGTCAGTGGCACTCTTCTGCAGCTTGCAGTTGTGCTGGCAGTAGCAACTGGGCAACCCATAATCGGCTCTCTCTGAATCATTTCAGGGCCTCATGTTCTCTCCTCTATTTGGATCGTGCCCTACTTTGGCTTTCACAGGCATTACAGAGACTCCTGAGATCCGCCTGGCTATGACTCCCATTTGGACCAGTATCATGAGGTTCCTCCTAAAATGACTCAGCCCTGACAAGCTCCCCAGACAATTTCTAACCCCTAGGGGTTCTGCCCATAACACAAGAGAACATGGAGTGGTCCAGAAAGCTAAATATTGGGTCCTTCTCTGCTTTCTTCTTCTCACAAAATCTCTGGACTTTCGTTACATCAGTGAAGATGTAGTCTCTTTCTTTTGGACATCAGCCTCTCGGCTAAACTTTAATAACACACATGGGTATTTTCTCGGTGTTAAGGGAGAAGATCTACGATTTGATTATTGCACATGGTCTTTAATGTTGTTATATATGAACTAAAGGAATTTGGAAATTACTTCCTCTCGAAAAACCTCCCTTTTGTGATGTTTCAAAATCCTATTTTAAATGCGAGATGTTGAATATTAACCCTTGCTTTTTCACTGCAATCTTTCTGTAACAATCCTAATATGACTCTTCTCTTAAGCTGGTCTGAGAAAAGCACATTTCAGAAAGAAAAAAGAAAAAAAACACAATAATGTTTTTTCTTTCTTTTTTTAAATTAATTTTTATTGGAGTGTATTTGCTTTACAATGTTGTGTTAGTTTCTGCTGTACAGCAAAGTGAATCAGCTCTATGTATACATATATCTGCCCTTTTTTGGATTTCCTTCCCATTTAGGTAGAAAACACAATAATATTTTTTCTAGTGTTTCTTTCATGATACATTTAAGTTACGTTACGTGTCTTGTGCCACGTAACTACTGGAAGTCCAGTAACCTCTTTTAACTTTCCAAGGATCCCAGGGATGTGTGAGGGATGGACATGCACTGTTGAGATTCATCTCATGTCTCTGAATAAACATTTCTGTTACTGATTCAATTATCAACCTTCCTTACCATCTTGTCTTCTAAATATTGTACTTTCTCTTCACTCCACCGCAAGCATTGGTCCTGACCATTCTCTTTCATTATGCAAAACATCTCATATGATTGTTGTGTGTAATAGATGCTTTCTGTACCTATCTGTAGTTCCATAGTTGCTCTCCTTCTAGCTTTCCAACACTTGTTTGGGAAACCCTTAGCCCTTCTAGCCCTTTTCCCACTGTATCCAAGAATTCAAAATCTTTGGGATTCTCGTTACTTTGTTATTCAAAGAAACTCCTCCCTCTTTTTGCATCAAAAATTTCCCAGTCAAAATGGATAACTAATAAGAACCTGCTATATAAAAAAATAAATAAAATAAAATTAAAAAAAATTTCTCAATCAAACAGGCTCTCAAGACTTCCCTTACGTAACAACATGTCTTATTAAGATCTCCGCTCCTCCCACCACCAAATGTACAAATTTCTCCCTAGAGGAACTCTACCATCCTCCTCCAGCAGAGGTCTACAACCAGGTAGCCCAAGACTTTAATCTGGCCAAGAGACAAATTTTATTCATCTGCAGAATTTGTGTCTTCGTTTTACTTCTATACCTGTTTCACCATTGAATTTTGGAAGCAGAAAATTTACTTTATAGTTTGATAGGTCCAGAGATGGAAAGAGGTTTTGCTCCATGATGGATCATACACAGAGTCACATTCATATATGATTTAGATGATGATATCTGGGATTTGAGGGCTCATGAGATTTAGATGAGATTTTAGCCTTGAGCTGATGCTAATAGGCTGAGAACTTGGGGGATGCTGGGATGGGGTAAATATGTCCACGTGGGATGAATGTGAGCCTTTGGGGCCAGAGGGCGGACTGTGGTAGTCTGAAAAATGACCCTCCCCACCTCAAAAAAAAAAAGATATTTACATAAAGTCCCTGGAAACTACGAATGTTACTGTATTTGAAA